CCCTTCATGCACTCCTGCCACCTGAGCTATCTCCCTGTGCATAAACAGCCCTTCTTTCTCCCATGATTGTTCTCTCCAGAGTGTATCTACCTAATGTAAATGTTCAGCTCATATGCCTGTCTTCTGTTTGGCTGGAAGCCACAGGAGTGGGTTCAATTCCAGCCTGAAGGGCAGCTAGGGGCCAGAGTCTCAGTGGTTCTACCAGGCTCTAGATTTATAAAGTCCTGGAGTACAGAAACTCTGTGCAGACTTTCAGTCCTCTACATGCTTAGCACAATGTAACAAATAAAGAAACATCACTTTGAAAAAATGAAAATCAAGGAATAAATTTCCTTTCCAAAGGCAAGAAGAATTCAGTTAAGATGAGTGCCTCACATGGTCTATGAATTACTGATGGTCCTTCAAAGTGTTCCAGGTGGACAGTAGATTGATTTCTTAGTGATTAATATTTTTAATGGGAATAATCATGCTATTTAATCAAAAACAATCCATTGGCATCTCATGAAAAGCAATCCTCCCCTCATTAATTTTGATGAGGTTTTTGCACTGTTAATCAAGAATATGTAGAGTAAGTGACCCAAAGGACTCTGTTGAAATGATTTAAAAGGGAAAGATAGCAATCATTGCTCTAGATCAACAGAGACACCATTATGGAGTCAACTCTATCTGTAACATTTCACTTTTTTAAATAAGATATAAAGCAAACATGGTAAAAAATTTTACATGTGTTAAATCTGAGAGATGGGTGCAATGTGTTTGTTATATTATTCTTTGCATTTTCTGTATGCTTAATATATTTTAATTGCATGGTATTTGAAACACATATTGTGAATTACTTGGTATGGCTTTTCTAGCCATGGTCTTTGTGACTCCCATGAGATTACTGGGTGAAACCACACATATGTAAGGTGTTTATGGCCCACCAAGGGGACTTGCTAGCTTGTGAGTAATGTAAATAAGGTACATGGCACCCTTGTCGGGGTGGGGCCACCAAGCAAATAAGGTGTACAGAAC